CACCTGCAGGCAGGACAAGAAGCAACGGATGGAAACTAATCAAGGAGAGAAGCAACCTGGAATTGAGGAGAAACTTTCTGACAGTGAGAACGATTAATCAGTGGAACAACTTGCCACCAGAAGTTGTGGGTGCTCCATCCCTGGAGGTTTTCAAAAAAAAAAAAAAAAGAGACTGTAGAATTAGAACTCACCGTCTCCCAGTTTCTGGCCTGGCACCTAACAATATTAAATCAAACTCCTCTCCTCTTTTATTCTCCTTCATAGGAGATAATGCATCTTCTAGCAGAATTTTATCCAGCTCATCACGATGCATGAATCCTCTGGCATCATCTCTCCCCCACCACTCGCTTCATCCCAAGATAGAGAATACAACACATGCCTTCAGAAGGTTAATATATTCTCATTTCCTTTTTTTTTTTTGATAGGCAGATTGCCTTCCATTGTATCCCTACAAAGGACGTCATCTCCACACAGATCTAATTTTTGTAAGGGAAGGCATGCCATATCTATGAAAATTTCTGAATGGGAGTGAATCCCAGAGCTAGATCAGATGTTTTGTCTTATATACAGTCTGGACAAAACAGTTCCTTCGATAAACAGGCAGGATAAGAACCTGAAACAGAGCTGCAGGCAGCTATAGAGAATTTTATCTCCTAGCCCCATTGTCTACGGAGATTCTCAGTCATCCCGGTGATGGTTGGTCCCAAAGGTGTTTTTCCAAAAAGCAGTTGGACTTTTTTTTTGGGGGGGGGGGTGTCCTTTGGGGAAAAAAAAATTAAGAAGAAGAAAATAACCCAAGAAGTTTCTTGATTGAGAAGTGAAGCGTTTTCTTTCCTTTTCTTTTTACTAGTTTATGATACATAATGCAAAAAATTGTGGGAAAGGGGGAGGGGAAAATGTAGGGCAAAGGGAAAAAAGAAAGAAAAGAGGTTGACTTCCAATTGCCTTTGCAGTAGAATAAGGTAATAGCATCAAACCTCAACTTTTTTACTTTGACACAATAATATAAACTAGTCGTTTTTATAGCAATAAACCTATCCAGTCGGTATAACCCCAAATCAAAGATTCAGGGTTTTTTCCCCACCTCAAGCACAAAGTCCAGAAGTGGTTTCCAGGTAGCAAATAAAAGTAATTGTGTTATTTTTGTTCATCTAATCAATGTAGTCAGTTTAGCCCTCTCTGCTAATTCCATCAACTTTGGCAGCCATCCGTCCATTATAGAAATTAAAGTGTATTTCCATTTTTGTTCCTAGAATAACATCAAAGTTCCAAATTCAAAACGTTTTCAAAGGGGGAAAAGACCCCAAGAAAATCCAGTTGCCTTTTGGAAAAATCATTTTTAGCACGTCCCTAGTCGTTGCCACCCGAAGAGAGTCTATGTTCTCATTTATTTTTATATAAACGTATTATTCTGCTGATGTCCCCGTGCTGTGGAGCGGAGAGATTGCATTTGTTCCTGTGGGATCCTTTCGAGCCATTCTTTTCTACTTCTGCTAATATCATGACAGGCAGCTCTCTATTCTTGAGCAAGGGCTTTATTGAAGAAAATAAATCAACCCCAGAAGCAAAATCGGTGAATAATGCCATGTAATACATAACACTGGCTTTTGTCCCCGGCTGTGCTGAAATGTACAAATTATTGGAAGACCGTCACCGCAATGGTTTTGTAATAGAGACTTAAAATAAATCCTAAAAGTTCCGTAGGACTATTTTTTTTTAATGTTCATTGAAAAGACAGCCTTTGGATTTTGTCCAAGTTAATTTTGGATATAAAGTCCTTGATGTAAAAAATACAAAAGGTCAGAGATCTTTGAACAAAGCACTGTCATATTTTTAGTCGTTTGCAAATGGACCCTTCAAACAACTTTCAAGACTCAAAGCAAGTCATCCTTAAATTAGGAAGGCTTGTGTCCAAGTTCTTTTAATCATGGAAGGTTAACCATGGTTAGGTTTAGGTTGTGTCTAGGTGTTTTCCCAAGGAATCTTAAGATCTCTGCCTTAAATCTTGCAGGGTTAATCTTTGATGTGCCTTTATATGTGCTGAACTAGGTAGCTAAATACAGGTAGAATAAAAGAGTTTTTGTTCCCTCATAAAATACAAGAGTTTTCGTTCCTTCCAGTGGCTTATGTTTCTTGTTGAACCAGTTCAAAGATTTAAGCTTTTTAATAAAGAATAGAAGTTTGGGGGAGAGAGAGAGAGAAAGATATCAATATAGGAAGACAAAGACAGACAGAGATGATAGATAGATAGATAGATAGATAGATAGATAGATAGATAGATAGATAGATAGATAGATAGATAGATAGATAGA